TAAAATCTCAGCCATCCCTCTGTTATAATTTTGAATAAGCCTTTCAGTTTTAGGAGAAACTGTTGTAGCTGAAAACTGGGATGACTTGTCTTTTGCTCTGTGTTCTGGGCCACTGATGCCTTTTCCAATATACCATTTTTTCATCCTAAAAATGACTGAAGAAAAATCTTGTCACTCAAGGTTATAGGGGTAAAAAAAAAAAAAAAAAAAAAAAAAAAAGGTTTTTACAAGCTATGTAACTCTGCTAGTGAAGGGATCTTATTTTCAGGACAGATGAAGTGAGGTGTTTGGTGGCTGGAAGCAAAAGTTAAAGAGCAGCAAACCGAGCACTCCACCCGAGCAGTGACACGACAAACCCAGAGGCGACAGCACAGTTTGCCAAGGAGCTTGATTTTATCAGGTTCCCAGGTAAAACAAACACTCTGAATGTGCATGAAAGCACTTCCACAATACATGTCTTGGAGTATGACAAGATTCTTGCTGGAACATAATTTGGATTTACAGGCTGTCCCAAATTGTGCGTGTTTTGACAGATAAAGAGGTACCAGGGGTTTCTCCTCAGAAACAGCCAGCAGGTATTTGGATAAGCAGTAACATCAGTGCATTTATGCCAACACGACTCAGCTCTAGCATAAGCTGAAGTTCAAATAATGCTCTTCAGAATAACCATAAATGTGATAAAATGTTACAGTCAAAGCCACAGCACAGGAAAGGCTCAAGAGCAGCAGCTTTCCACAAACACCAGGAAAAGTAACAAGAGTTTTCATTTTCTAAATCTGGGTCAGAGGCAGTAAAACTTCCTTTGTTTTATCTTCATCATTTTAAAAACTCACAAATCCTAAAAAGTGCCTTCTGCATAGCAAGAGCTGTGTTTATACTGCGTTCACGTGTATTTCCATCAGAAAGCTGCTATGAGCATCAATGCCTCAGATTTCACTGCCCCTCCCCACCTCAGAACTGCTGAAAATAAACTGGAAAACAGTCCACCAGTTGTCTGAAGGGAAACCTGGCAATTTTGGTGGTAGCTGGTTGCCCAAGCACAGTTGTCAGATGCTGGGCACTGACGCATCCAGGCCTTTGGAAATCACCAATGGATGTGAATTTGGCATGCACAGCACAACTCCTGCTGCACAGTGTGATGTCCCACTAATATGTGTTTGCCTAGAAACCCAACACAGAGCTTAATAATTTAAGTCTAATGCAGAATTTACCCGTGGCATAAAATGCTCCCGATAGGCAATGCATTGAAAACGTGAAATATTGTGAGTTTAACGCTCATAGTTCTGAAGTTTTATGAAAAGTGGCCATTGAGCACATGCCAGGAATGTTCTCTCCACAGATGACTTTATCTAGTTTTATACCTGTGTAGTCCAAATCTAAGTGACATTTTTGAATTCTAGCAGGAAGAGCTCAATGCATCAGATAAGAGGCAGATTCTTTCTATGTTGCACGAAGACCACGTTTAGATCTACCTGGAACATTTTCAAGACATCCACTAGCTCTATAAAAACGGTACAAGTTGATTTTTACCATTTATAACCAGAGATAAATGCATTTGAAGAGCCTGCAATACTTTTTTTAAAACGTTTATCCTCAAAAGTTGAGCTTTGCAAAGAGGAACGAGGATTTCACCTTCCCTGCTAAAGCAACTATGCATCGCTGAGATTTTATCAGGCTAATTAGAGGCTTGGTTCTGCATAATGATTCTTGTGCTTCCCAAACTCACAGCTTCACACAAAGAGGTCCAGAGTTTCATGACTGCAATGCTAAATTCAGAACTGGACCTGTAATGAAGCAACTACCATTAAACCAACAGCACAAAACTTGGGCTTATTGGGTTTTGTCAGGCTTTGTTTTTGGGTTGTGCTGTTAAGAAACTACTTCCTGGGAAGAAAAGAGAAAAGAAGTGTTGTTGAAGTGAATGCAAAGTATTTCATGAGATGGGTAGAACTTGTATGACTGTACATCCACATAACCTAAACTCCTCATGCTGCAGACAGCTGGCATAGCCCCCTCTTCCTTAGCACATAGGTTTATTGAAAAATACTTCAGGTAATC